TTCTTCAAGTTGCCATCATTATTTTTCGGGTCTGTAATATAGCAAGACACGTTGATTTGTTGGTTGATGTAATTGAACGTAACGGCCGGCGACATGTTTTTTGCTTACACATATATTTCTATTGGTTTTTTTGAACACAAAAATCGCCCAAACAGGCAAACACAAATCATGTTTTGTCAAACCTAAATTATTCCATGCTACGAGGCTATCTTTTTTTGGTGATCATCAACATTCTACGTTGATAATAGTCCCAACTTTGAAAAAAGTAATGTTGCTTATGAAAGTTTGGATTAGGTTCCACACCCTCTTCACGATGTAAATTGATGGGATTTAAACTCGTCATGACGTACTAACTGAGATCGATCCCCCATAATTACTATGCCAATGGTTGGTTCGCTTTGCCTCATGAACCAACCATTCGGTTATTTTTGTTTCTTCATATACTAATCTGTGTCTGTGTCTTTTCAATTTTCAATGTACTTTTACGTTCTTTATTTTCAATATATACATATATATATATATATATATATATATATATGAAAAACACACGTAGAAGACTGAGATCTAAACACAACCTTCGAATTTCGATGGTGAAATAATATTCTTTAATACTCCATAAGGTCTGAAAAAAAAATAGTTCAGATTGAATTTCGAGTTTGTACTAAAATAGCACAGAATTTAAAACTAAATGTGAACTATTTTTTTTTTTTTTGGTACAAAAATAGTATTACATAGATACTTGATCAAAACTTCAAATATTTAGTTAGAGAAACGAATTCGTCCGTTAATCTCAAAGCCGCGTTGACCAGAAATGATCATGCAACATTTTCAACTGCTTTGGAAGAGAGTATCTACAAATTCACTTTTAATCATAGAGTTGTTAGATCAGTAAGTAAAATCAACACGAGGGCATAACTTCAACAAAGGAATCTAACCGACTGATATTCAATCTCAAATATTATAATTTGAGAGATGTCTTACCTGACTCGATTTCAAATTAACCTGTGAGTATATCTAGACATTAGTTGCTTAATATAATAGAAAAAAAATAAAGTTGATACAAGGGCGTAAAAGTATAAGGTCAGTTATGGAATTCAGCGAAAGCAGTTTGCTAAAACCAAATGCTCACGCAAGATCTTTCGTTCTTAGGTTATAAAATGTTCCATTGCCTGCTTTAACCATCGAGAGTCTATTTGCCAATGCTATGGCAAATAAGTTGGAAGAGAGAAGAAGCGATTGCAAATTTCTTTCTACATTTTTTTTCTTTTTTTCTGGAACGGTTTGTTTATACATTTGATCACCTGATGAAGCATAGATAGTTAAAATGTGGAACACGATTTCCTCCTCCAACTCGTTTTCAGTCGTACTCATTATTGCTCTTTTGGTATTGATACCAAGTTTAAAATAATTGTCTGATTTATTGTGCGATACTGCGAAAGGAGTACTATAGGTTATGTTTGTTTCGTTTTTTTAGTGTGTGCTTTTAGGTATTTTTATATTAAAAATGTAAAAAAGTGTATTACAAATGAAAAAAAAAGTATAATAAGATGCGACAGTTAATATTTAATTATTTTAAAATTACCATAAAAAAACAAACCAAACAAAGCCTCCCCTTATTTCTTTCCTCGTAGTTAAGATTAGGAAGCATGCCTTCTCGTAACATTTTGGGCCTGTTAGATGAGTAGGTTTTAGGGATCAAATCAATGAAGGATTCCCATGAAGATTGAAGGATTGTTTCCTGACAGAAAATTCTGACTTTGGTCCAAACACATTTCCGGGCCTCTTGGTGGGGCTAAGCTCTAAATTCGTGGGAAATGTCAAAGCTTTCATACATTTATAGTTTGGGCTTGAAGCTGCATTCAATATTAAATATTTAATGTTCTACTATCTTCATCTCAAAAATAATGATCTTATTTCGTATAATTAAATTTGTGCTTGTTAGGACAAAAGAATCTCATATTGCATATATGAAGGACCTAAGAACTGTTTATAAACTTCTTAGAGCATTGTAGCAATTTGCTACACACCAAATCATCAAAATTGCTATTTTGATATAATTCATCTCTAACCCTCAATTCTATTTTGTGCAGCAAATCACCCGATAAAACCCCCCCCAAAAAAAAGAAAAGTCAAAGAAAGGTAAAAGAAACAACGTCAGTGGGACACTCTATTTACTACATCTACAGTACAACAACAAATTTGGTGATCTACTGTAGCAAAAACAGCACTTTACTGTTTGTTTTTGCTGTTTGTTACTACATTGGAGCAGAAATACATCAAATTCTCCAGTAATTTGCTGAATTGGGGGCAACTTTGAGAATGTTCTTATGTCACTCTATCGATTGGTTTTGAGTTGGAAACCTAAAATTTCTTTGACAGTTTTGTTTGCGTATCTATATTACATGTTGATTACCTAAAACGTCAGGCGCAAGAACCAAAAACTCCATAGAGACCATAAGGTCCCTAACTGAAAGTAGAACACTCACCGTCCATCCATCAAATAGGCTGAGGATGGGCTTCAATGCTTCATCATTAGATTGCTCCCAACTTCGCCTCTAACAGACCAACATTAACGTGAGGGAGGGAACACATTCATTTTCAATTTGTCTAGTATTTGGATCGAGATTCCGGTTTCAAATTAGCTTCTTCTCCTAGATTAATGAGCGGAGTTGTATTTGCAGTGCGTGGAATTCGAATTTGCCATCTCACTAAGGTTTTTAACCTTTTAATCACTGGACGGATAAAGTTCATCGACTTCATTCCCGAGTTGAGTTTCAGGTGAAAATATTAGTAGTAAAATTGTACTCATCTACAACATTGTACTATCAATCAATATCGTAATTTGGGGGAGTTTGCATTACTTGTACGTTTGGTTGAACTGTTGAAGTCAGTGCATTTCTTCTGCACACACAAAAAATGAAAAAAAAAAAACAACAAACTTTTAACTCATACCAATATGCCATCATTAATTGAACCACCAGATACTACTAGCCATTAATACTACAATAAAATAGTCAAAGGTAAATCGTGTGTTTTCTTTGTTTTGGTACAATTAAAGGAGGCAAAAGGCTACGGACTTAAAATCGTGTGCTTGTGATTTCTCAAAAAAAAAAAAAAAAAGTTTGATTTATTCTTTGTTGATCTTTTAAGATCTTAACTTACACTGATCTGTACAAACCAAAAAATGTTTAGACTATACGTTAAAAAATTGGATTGGAACCCTTACATCTGATAAAATTAAAGTATAGAAACAGTTGATCCATACCACAGGCAACTAGAGGTGGTTCATTGTCTTTTTCTTTTTCTTTTTTTTTTTTGTAATAATACAGTAATAGAAAGAGACGAAGAACAAAAGCATAGTAAGTAATTGGAATCAAGAATATTTTTTGGTTGCGTAGATGGATTTATTATATTGTGGGAGAGTAAGAAAGAAGAAGTATACGTAGAAGGGATGCCTACCTAAAATGCGGGTCGTGGAGTTTGTTCATACCCTGGTTTTGTCGTCTCCCGCCCAAAAAATATAGGCCATACCCCCCAACCCAACTTGGCTGATGGTCCACCATTTATCATTTATTTTGTGGTTGCTTCTTGTTTTGGCCATCCCCTCTCCAATCATGTCTTAATTAGTTTTCTTTTTAACATATTTTCTCTGTTTCAAAAAAACAAAAAAAAAAAGAAACCGATTCGGGACGAGTTATCTATCCCATTAACTGATCGTCGGGCTTGTTGGATGTTAAACTCATGGGATAATTATATGTTATCCCATGAGTAGTTCACTTTGTTTAGAAACCAATAAATACTAGACGTATACCCATAAAGGTACTCCTTCGACGTAAAAAAAGAATCTTAATTACAATACTTCACAACAAATAAAATCTTTTTTTTAGATAATTTTTTGTTAGTACGGAAAAAGTTGTACTCCCTCTGTCTCAAAATTATTATTCGGTTTAAAATTTCACTTTTAATATAATTACGGGACGGAAGGGATATATAAGAAGCCAATAAAATGACCGGCGCCACTTGATATCTGGTGTATTGTCTACAAGCAAAACATCTGCGGAAATTACTTCTTTTACAAGGTAAAGGTTTCGAAGTTCTCTATGGTATTTCATCATTCATTCATTTACTGATCCGCTTCTTCTCAACAAACATCCGCATAATTGAGTTGCCTTCGCATATTTATTCGCATGGTTTTCCCATAAAATTTTTATGTACCCCCCTCTGCAATCATTCATTTTGGAAGCAAGTAATTAAGATCATTGGGACGGAGAAGAGTGATTCTTGTATCTCATGACAATCGTTACTGTTCTTCATGATCCTTGTGTTTTTTTTTTTTTTTCATTCATCCTGATTTTGTTTTTGATCTTTAAGTACAGTTTTTCATGATAGTATGTCGTGTCTTTAATGTTTTTTTCCCGAGTAATTAAAGAATTAAGAAAAACACTTACCATATCAAATGCATATTCGAATCAAATTTATGACAAATCCTGTAGTTTGCCTATTCATTAATTCAGAGAATATTTTCCATATAGATACAAATTGTGATCAATTAATGTATTCGATCATTATTATTATTTTTTTGATATATTATGCACTTGCTTAAGTAATCTGAATTCAAACCACATAGATATTCTTTAAAAGGTAAAATTGTTCCAGCAAGTATTTTAATCACTATTGTAAGTATATGGTCAGATTCCAACACGGGTTATCGTATTTTATCTTTAAATATTGTGATCAATCAATGAATTGGATTCTTGACAGATCCATTCACGTACGTGTGATAAGATATCAGAAAAAGTATCATCATTTTTACACGAAAATGATTATACTTTACTATACCTTTTAACACGAAAATAGTTTTACTTTAGGACTATACGCACTTTGAAAATATTACTCCTTCCGATCCTTAATATATAAGACATCTTGATTTGTCCTAGTAACATAACGAATGCGAAAATATATGTTTAAAGTTTTTTTTCCGGTTAAAATCACATGCTAGATGAAATCTAGTATAAAATCAAAATGCTTTATATTAAAGACGGGAGGGAGTATATACAAAACTAAAATGGCCACATGCATTAAGGCAGCCATGCTGGCCGATATATCTTGTTACATAGAACTGTCAAGTCAAATTCTAGGTGGATATCCTAAGGAAACAATTTTATTATTGTTTCAAGCTGAATTATCTTTTGAAGATTTATCTGTAAAGTCAAATATCTTGGCTCCATTTTTTTCCCCTTTCCTTCTGCCACTAATTTAGACATTTCTGTTTCAGACAAAAAAGTGAACAACAGCATATATTCTGATCTTCTTTTTTTTTTGTTTCAGTTCATTCCTAGTCTTCCACAACCTTTTCATATATCTCTGCTGACTGGAGAAGATCGATCAATATTTTCGCTTTTATAGGTGGGAGAAATGGAAATGGGAAGAAAATCCCATCTCCAGGTTTCTCTTGTACTCCCATTTTCCCTCTTGATTCTGCTGTTTCTCCCCGGAATTGCCACGTCATTCAGAACCCATGATGGATCAGAATCTTGGGGTTACGTTCAAGTTAGACCAAGTGAGTGATCTTTGTTCAATTTTTTACGTTTGTGTAATCAAATTCTACAGATTCTTTGTGCTGATCCCATGTTTTACTAATTTCTCAGAGGCACATATGTTTTGGTTGTACTACAGAAGTCCTAACAGAGTTCATGATCCAACTAAACCATGGCCAATCATTCTTTGGCTGCAGGGTGGACCTGTAAGTTTTCCACATTCACACAATCAAGTTTTTTTTTCTTTTTTTTTGGTGCTTAATTTAAGACTGCATTTCTGAAAACAAAACCTCTGTATTTGCAAACTTGAAAAGGGTGCTTCAGGAGTTGGATTGGGGAATTTTGAAGAGGTTGGGCCTTTGGATTTGTCCTTGAAGCCAAGAAATTCAACTTGGTTACAGAAAGCCGATCTTCTGTTTGTGGTAGATATTTGTTTATTCCATCAATAATATGTTCAATGTTAAACTTCCTAAATTGAAAATTCTGCATCTTTTAATCATGGGGTTTTTGTTTTTTTTTTTTGGGAAAATTAATGTAGGATTATCCAGTTGGAACTGGATACAGCTTTGTGGAAGACGAGAGTTTGTTCGTGAAGACGGATGTGGAAGCTGCAACTGATGGCACTACTCTGTTGATGGAGATTTTCAATCGGAATGAGACATTGCAACAGAGTCCTCTGTTCATTGTTGCAGAGTCTTATGGGGGAAAATTTGCTGTCACTCTTGCTTTATCTGCTTTAAAAGCTATTGAAGCTGGAAAGTTGAAGCTTAAACTTGGAGGTAATTATGATTGCCTTTTCCTCCTCCCTTTTTAATCATGAGGATTTCTGCATTTTTAAGGTAGAATGTTACTTTCCATTTCTGTTCAATAAAGTTAGGTGCTTTATCTTTTTTTCTTCATATAGGAGTTGCATTAGGGGACAGTTGGATATCACCAGAGGATTTTACGGTATGCTGTTTTTGATAATTGCTATTATCTATATACTGTAACATTTTTATCACTGTCTAATTTTAGTTCAACAATCACGACTCTTGTTTTGGGACAAAAAAAAAAAAAAACCTTTTAAAACTGGTTATTTGATGTTTTTCCATAAAACTTGCAGTCTTCATGGGGGCCTCTTCTGAAAGATGTCTCTCGGCTTGATAACACTGGCCTGCAGAAATCTAACAGGTCTTTAATTTTTTTTTCATTCGTCCTTCTTTTTTCTTTTGAGAAATCGTACAATATAATAAATAATTCAGCCAGCCAATTGTGAATCAGTATCTAACACAAGCCCATAATTGTGATTTGTGACGCAGTCTTGCTGAACAAATAAAGAAGGAGTTGGAGGCTGGTAATTTCAGTCAGGCCACTGATTCATGGAGTGAATTGGAAGACCTTATAAGTCAATACTCTAACAATGTGGTACAAACAGCCTTCTGAACACTTACAAAATAGGCATTCAATACTCCGTTAGTCTTAGTTAATTGTCGACTTTGTTGTACTGTTTTATTTCAACGAACCAGACTATTAATAGAATGGGACGGTGGGATTATGTTCATAGCGAAAAAGTGAATTAAAAACATTGGTTATTTGTATTTTTTTTTTTTCAGGATTTCTACAACTTCTTGCTGGATTCAGGGCAAGATCCAGTGTCACTGACTGCATCAGAGCTAAAACAAGGAGTAGCAATAAAGAGGTACTCAAGATACCTTCATACATTTAGGGATTCTCATTCTCCTGGAGGCGATGGTGATATTGATAGCTTGATGAACGGGGTTCTGAAAAAGAAGTTCAATATTCCCAATAATGTTTCGTGAGTTTTATCGTTGTTAATTAATCTCCATAAACATTTTTTCTTTAGCTCTTTTGTTTTCATCATTAAGGACTGATTCTAACCCACAACTAACAGATGGGGAGGTCAATCGAGCTTTGTTTTTGATGCCCTTCGCGGCGATTTCATGAGGCCAAGAATCGATGAGGTAATCGAATCTTTCGTGGCTCTTTGGTTTCAAACATTTTCAGTAATGTAAGATGTTCGATATAGCATATATATATGATCCATATAATCGATACTATTTTAAGACGGAATTTTGATTATTGGGATCCTTGTCTTGTTAGTAGTACTTATATGGAATGGTAGTAAGCAGCATCATTGAGTATCCTTTTCTTTTTTAAGGATTTATTAAAATCATGTTGTTTTTTCTGACATTATTGTTGGCCGTAGGTTGATCAATTATTGGCTAAAGGAGTTAATGTGACAGTCTATAATGGGCAGGTGAGTTTGCACTTTGAAGACGCACAATAGACATTATCTTTCTTTCACCAATAAAAATGACCTCAATTTTTCAATTATTCGACACGATGAGCAAAAAGATTCAATTCTATATTAAAGACTTGTAGTTATTCTGCTAACATATCGTTTTTGGTAATGGTAGCTGGATCTTATTTGTGCTACCAAGGGAACAAGTGCATGGGTAGAGAAGCTCAAGTGAGCAATATCCAATTTGGACCCTAACCTTTTCCCTTCTTTGATTTTGCGCGCGCACACACACACACACACTACAAAATTAATAATAATTTGTGTGATCAAACAGGTGGGATGGTATTAAATCATTTCTGGAAATGGACAGAACTCCTTTGTATTGTGGAGATGACAGAACTTCCACAAAAGCATTCACAAAATCGTACAAAAATCTACACTTCTTCTGGATTCTTAAAGCTGGTCACTTTGTAAGTCCAAGCCAGGTTCACAAAATCATACAAATCCCTTCGTCCCAAAACGATTATCATCAAAAAAACAGGACAATCATTTCGGGATAAAGAGAGTCATTAACTTCTGTATAAGTCTTCCCTCATAGTTAAGAATCATTCTGTAATTTCTATGTCAGGTACCCGTTGACCAGCCTTGCGTAGCGTTGACAATGGTAGGCAGCATCACCCAGTCCCCTTCTGCTACAAAGTAGAGAAGCATTTCACGATTTGGGACGATTTTTTTTTTTTTTTTTTTTTCTTCAAGATTTTGCGAATCATCTTCGTAAAGGAAGAGAAAACACACAGTTACATTACACAAAAGATTAAAAAGAATACGCAATTCTTGTAATACGATAGGGTACATTTCTTTTTAGTACATTACTTAGTTATGGTCATTAATTTCTCTTAGTTCAACATGTACCAGTCTCTGTTCAGATATATCTATACAAGAACAAGTTCAGATTCTGCAGAAACCTAAAATCTCCAAACAAAATCATACAAGTTCTGACACTTTCGTTTTAGCGGGAAAAAAAAAGAAAAAAAAAAAAAAGAATCTGAATCGAGCAAGCCAGGATTGGGTTGGGTTCAAATAAGAACTTGGGCTGGACTGAGATGATCTGGGCTAAGTCGAATATGAGTAGTTTTTATTTTTTTCCCCTAAATAATACCCCCCAAAAAAGAAAAAGAACAGAAAAGAAAAAGGGGAAAGGGGGCGGTTAGGGCTCGTAAATTGGGGAAATGTTGATTCAAATTGTTTGAGGGGCAGAGATTATTTCGGGGGCATTTATCATCAAAAGGTACATTTTCTCTATCAATTTCTTGTTACATGATTTTAGTTATACTTTGAGGGATTCGTGTGCATTTGGGAAAAATAGGATGGGTGTGGACTGTGTGAAGTCCCTCTGGCTTTTTGGATTTTTTTTTTTTTTGGAATCAATTGAGATTTGAGCATGACTGGGAGACATTGGAACTTTGAAATTATCTTTGCCATGCTGTAATGCGCCCCGAATATACTATCCGCTTACTGTATAGACTATAGATATTGCGAATGTGATTTGTGCTGTACATTGATGGGATGGATTTTTAGGCTTTGCTTTTTTCCCATGTTGATGCATCAAATTCAGTGTAAAATTATTTTTGGGTTAATTTGCTTGAATGCTATGCTTTTTCTGGTTTCTTGATCCACGGATAATTGATCTTGGAAATGTTTATTTCTACTGGTTGGATTGTCGTCGGAAGATGCAAAATTTGTCTGAAAAGAAGTCTCAGTTCACTGTTATATTCATCAATCAATCCTATCTTCAAACTTTCATACTTATATTGCATGAACACTTCATTGCATTCTTTTGGTATGCTGTTTCGATGTAGGTTGACCTAGAGGTTAAAAATATGAACTTTGGAGATAGTTTCAGAGCACCATTGTTTGTTTCTATGGTGCAATATATGCCGTTAAATTCACGAACTCAATTTAGTTTGGGTGAGGGTCAGGGAAATGTTGTTAGCTTCACTGGATCTACTTAGATTAAGTAATGTGTGCACTACATTAGAGGAAACTGATGGTAGCTAATAAAAAAAAGTTAGAAACTTAAGGTGTTTTTTTTTCTTTTTTTTTTTTGAAAAGGGACTTAAGGTAATTTGGATATGCTGTTAGTGTTAGCCCATCTTTGGGGAGGAGTTGTAAAAAAATACATCTTGCAGTCGACCCACTATACATAATGGTAGAGTTTGCTGTTTTAGTTTTGACATTTTCTCTTTTTTACTTCTTCGTTTACTTACTTTCTGATTTGCATTGTTAGATGGATTGGCAAGGGCAGAAGTTAGTTGAGCAACTTTTACAGATACTGCTGGTAGTTTTTGCAGTGGTGGCATTTTCAGTTGGGTATGTTCTGCGCTCATTTCAGCTCATGTTGATGATATATGGTGCCGGTGTTCTCTTGACGGCTCTAATAGTTCTCCCAAACTGGCCTTCGTTCAATTGCCACCCTCTCGTATGGTTGGATCCTAGTGAAGCTGAGAAATATCCAAAACCACAGCCTTTTAACATTAGTTCAAAGAAGAAAACTAGCAAGCAGTAGGTTTAAACTGGTCTTGACACACTTTCCTTGAGACATATTCTGCTGTTTTAGTTACATTCTTAATTGTTCTTATGGTTAAATAAAGTATTTCTTTATTGAAGAAAGTTGGTATCTATACCCAAGAAGAATACTAGCCTTGCAGCTGCCCTTCCGTTTGTCATAATACTATTATCATAGCCATTATTGTATTTCATGTTCGGTTTTCTTTAAGGTTGAAGCCCTGCTTCTTTATGTTGGGGTGGTATACGCTTGCTCATTTCTGGGCTACCTTATATATGATTAAAAAAAAAACCATTTATTTTAAGTTTAAATAGGTGTGACTGTGTTAAAATGAAGATGGATGGAGTTAGCAGGTTGAGTTTGTACGCAGCATTGTTGATGCTGGTGGAATATGATAAATTGAGATATATCAATTGGGAGTTATTTCAGATCATGCGGTGACAATTTGTGCGTTCTTCATTTCTTCTCCTGGGAGGCAATGAGATGCAATGTAGAAAACAATCGATAGACTCTCTTCGAGAACAGATGACCAAGCAAGCATTGATGAAATGACAACTGTTTCAAAGATGAAATTGCTGAGAAAGCCACTTATACTGTGACTTTAGTCAGTTGTGGAAAAACAGGAAAATGAAAGGTTATGGGATGTGGATACCCTGTATTCTCATCAGACACTCAGATTTACTCACCCCTAATACTACTAACAAAAAATACCAGTAGTTCGAACTTCAAATCTGGATCATGTTCTGTCAGAAGGTATCCATGCGCTGTCAAGAGGTAATTTTAACTTTAGATGTTTTCTTGTTCAGCAAAATAATCACAATCTATGGTACATTTCTTCTTTTATTGAGGGGGGTTAAAACTACCAATTTTGACTATAAAGATATAATATTAAGTGTTTGTGGGTAGTGGTCGAAATTACACTTGGCTATATTTCTGATAAAGAGGGAGCCTATACTAAAAAGGAAAAATATACAGCTTCTAAGATCATCACCCGTCTAAAAAAGGCAAGAATTAAACACATCCAATTTACAGGGATTGTACAGGGAAAATTTGAATATGAATAAAATATATAGCAAACTCTTCATCTCATGCCATTCGGGTGAAGCTACAGAAACACCTCGTTCTCATTCAATCTTTTCCAACACTTCCAATCTTGTCTTCCTTTTCCAACTCTTCATTGTTGCTACCATATTGATTAGACCCACAACTTGGCTTTTGCTATACTCCTGCAATTTCAGGAAACCAAGAGTTCCAGTTAAATTCAAGATAAGTTTCCTCTTAAAGCAAGCAATTCAGGGATAAATCATCTTACAGGATGAGCTCGTGCCCAGTGAACGTATTCAGTTTCTGGAAGATAGTATGCCTGAGCAAATGCCAATTATATAGTTAAACGGAGAAACAATTTGTGTTGATGATCATAAATGTAAACAGCGATTCTATTAATCATGAATTGTTAATGATCATATTGCTCTCACCTTGATGAAAGCTTCGACTATTTGCAGTTTTGGTTTTACGTCAACTGAGATGAAATGCTTCAAGCCATTTATTAAAACCTGAAGGGAGATTTACCACAAAAACTTCAGCTTTGAAAAAATAAAAAAAAGGAAAAAAGCACAACATCAATTTTCACCCATTTATTAAAACCTGAAGGGAGATTTACCACAAAAACTTCAGCTTTAAAAAAATAAAAAAAGGAAAAAAGAACATCAATTTTCACTCCAAAAATGCATAAAGTCAAAGAACCTGAAGATCTAGTTGCATAAGGGCTCGCCCTTCATCAGTACACCTCTTCACCCTAGATAGACCTTCAACAAGAGTTTCAGCAACAACTTCAACTCCATACTCCAAGAGGAGGTCTTGAACCTGGGATACATGTGGTTCAACTGTGCTGTTTAGTTTTTCTTAGTTCAAACTTCTAAAAGGAACATGTCTTATTTGTATTCTGTGCTTTTCCTAGAAAAGAGAATTATCATCACATCCCTAAAATATTAACTAAGACAGTGCGACCAGAAAGTTGAGATTGGTACTTCACGAAGTTTAAGTTCTGCAGTGCAAGAAACCCAGAACAGCAGAACTACAAAGGATGAGAAATTAGAATGAAGAAAAATCTTTCCTTCAACTGTTCGCTTCCACCAAATGGCAAAGAATTTGACCAACTCAAAGGAGATTATTAAGACACAGTCAAGTGATTTCTATACAACTGATCTGACATTAAATTACTTTAATTTGATATTACCAAGCAGAAGGCTGCACAAAGTACATAATTTAAACGTGGGAGAAACTTCGTTAGCTACATGCGGATCATTCCATTATCTGATAGTGTTCAGCCAAGAGGTTTACCTCCTTTCTGATGCCGCCATGGGCAAGTCGTGTCTTGTAGTGCTTGAACTCCCCCAACAGTAAGTCCACGTATCTATAACAATATAAGATAAGTTATTTCAAAATTTGTTTCACACAATAAGCTTTTGAATATTCTTAAAGACTTAAACACAAGGCCAATATTCCAGAACCTAGACTACTTCAACCGACACTGTACGGGAAAAAACTCACATTATTGCAGAATTATTGTATTCGTTGGCAACAGGGCTATTGCCATCAGTGGTATTAGACTGATCACGTCTGACACAGTGAATACCACTGAGAAACTATGATTTTTTAGGGTTGGGAGGCGATCTATGAACTTGGTCCTCTCACAGTTTTGGGAAAACCAAAATCTCGCAATATTCAAGCTTTATTGTTTTCACTGGCAACAGGTTTATTCTGTCATCAGTTACATCAGAATGACTACTTTGTCAGAACACAAAATAAACACCGAGAAACTAAGGTTTTTTTTTTTTTTTGGTGGTGATCCATAAGCTTGATCTGGATTTTCAAATTTCGGAGTAACATCTTTAACATACATTTTAGAGGGACGACAAGAATTATGCTGCACAAAAAATGGATTGGCCATGGTGCATTCTCATTATCTCATTAACAGGGTACATACCCATTATGCTCCATTCCAAGTTCCTTTACTTCCCACTTTGCTCCGGCAATTCTATCAACATACCTGCTCAAACAATAATAGTCAAAATTTAGCTGAAACTATTTCAGTTCATAATTCGTGACCCTGATATACTTCTCATGATAACCTAAGCAAAAAAACACAGTTTTCCCTTCTAAGATATGAATTTGGAAAGACAATAGTCCAGCACCGTCTAATTAACTTGCGTTACTCATGTCAGTCATACCATATACGTATTATCATTAGTCTAGCATAAATCCATTCATTAAACTTACCCATTTATGTGAAGAAGCAGTCTTGCAGTGGTTCTGTGAATATGCTGAGTCAGATCTGGTATGGCACCCACCTAAATAGAGAGAAAAAGTTCTTTACTAAAAAGTGCTCAAATTGAAGCAACCTATTCCAAAATTTACATTTAATTTCTAAAATAGGCAAGAAACCAATTGGGTTCTCACAGGAAAAATGTCCTCACAATCACAGGAAAATGTCATCATAACTATGTCAAACCTCATTCATACATTTCCAACTGAATTCAGATGTGGAAAGTTTAGACAGTTCACAAAAACATAAAAATATTCTAGCCAGTGAAAATCCCAAAGTCTCTAATCATTACATCATTTCCGCACAAGGAAACTCATCCATTATGTTATACTAGGTAATTCACATCATCATGAAAAGTGAAATATCCTAATAAGGTAGGATATTTACCAAATGCTCATAGAAATCTTCAACTATTGCCACATTATTATGCAGAAGCATGGACTGAAGATGGGTCCTTGATCTATGCAGTAGATGGGCAACAAGAGATATGGTGTCAGCAGCGGTACATCTTTCCTGTAACGTAACATAGTTCCGCATTATTCTTGGATCTCAATAACATTCAAAACTTGTGATCGAATAAGCAGTTTTTCCAATAAGAAAGTTCGAGTGAAAGAGTTGTTTGGAGTAAAAACTCCACATAATTTTCACTCTAAAACAGGAGGACATGGTCCAAGCAGTCAAACAATATATGGATCTCACGTGCAAGTTGGTTTCAATAGATTTAGTTCAATGTATTAAGAAACAATCAAGATGATGACCACAGTATCAGGCCATCAAGACAAAAAAGAAAAAAAGAGATAGAAGGATCATAACTAATCAAAGTATATTTTCTGAATGTGCCCTGTTACTGCTTCAAGAACCGCTAATAAGTTCCAGTGAAAATTTCAAATAGACACATGAAAACAACCACATATCCTAGTAGCCAAAAGGAAAATAATTTGTTTTGACTAAAAATAACTCCAAGAATCAAGCAACAAAAGAATACAGAAACCCAAGAGGTACCTTTAGACTAAATGAGGTGCTAGGCAAGCTGCTGGGTGGACTCGTCGGGGTGACTTCTGAAAGACTGAAAGAACTATTAGTTGATGTAGGGGAAGAGGAGGAAACTGGTACATGTTGGGGTTTTATCCACGGATCGCAGTCTTGTGTTATTCGGGACAAAGCTGTCCTTAACCTGTCTGGGGAATGGCAAAAAACTGAGTAAGAACCTTATATGTGCTCTAGATGTGTGAACCAGAACTGAAAACTTTAATATGTAGACTTGTTAATTAGAACTGCAAATAAGGTTCTTTTATTTTTATTATATATATATATATAACTTGGATTAGATAGAACTTACATGAAAGAGAGTCAGAAAAGCCTCTTCCACTATGCTGAATGTGACAAAAATTCTCAAATATGAAGTGGAAAAAGATCCCAAACAATTGGCGGATTCCCTGTTATGAATTTACCGAGTTCAGTTGAAGGATACAAACAGAAAAGAAGAGGAGAATAAATGAAGCACTGATAAACTACAAACCGGAAAGTTACCTGAAAGAACTCAACATTGACTACCTCTAACTTCTGCATTAGTCTCGCATATTTATCCATCAACCTATTTTGTGGAACACGTTAAGTTAAATAATTGCGAAGATCAGAGTATTCAAAAAGTCTAAATAATGCAATACCTTAGAAGACAAAGTGACGATCCTGTTTGAGCATTCTTTTCTTCATCATTCCAATGGGAAGAATGATTTCTTCGATGATTGGGATTTGAAATGCGACTCGGTAGTTGACTATCTTCATCAATAAAATCAGCATGAAGGTCTTCATTTTCATCTTCTGAAAAGGAAGCATTACCATTAACGTCTTGTTGGCCAGCACCTTTAGGAGAAGCTTTACTTTGATGAGATTTTCCCACAGGACTCCCAAAATCTCCAGTTGCCATGGAACCACTATGTAAAGTGACATCAGAATGCTCCCTTGGACTACCATTCAGTTCAGGCAAAAAGGGATTTCCGCTTTTAAGCCAATTCTCAAACCCAGATATCTTTGAACCAGTTTCAACAGCATTTGAGTATTTATGAACACGCATCAACTGACCATCAGAAGACCTATTCGATGAAACAATAAGAGCTGCTCCATCACCAAGAAGACCTGAAAAGCTTACAACTTGTATCGTTTCTGGTGGGAGAGTTAACCAATTCTCCCTTTCCATAACCATTTTCAATGCCTGAAAGTGAGTGAACATGTTAAACATCTCTGTGAGCATCAGACGAGAACATAAAAGAATGGCATTGCCAAAAAAAAAAGCGAGGTTTTATCACTGTATGGATCGTCTAAATGAATATCGACCAAAAAGGAAGGAAATAAACATAGCTGATCTTGAAATACCCAAAATAAAGAGTTGAAGCGTAAGGCACGGCTAGTAATGTTCAGTGGGATATCACACTGAGCCACTAAAGTTTAGACTAAAATAGGTTAGTGTCCGAGTTAGGTGAACAGTATCAAACACAATACTCTCATGGTTAGAAAATGATACTGTAAACATATTAAATTACCTCCAGAACAAAAACATAACAGCCTAGTTTCAAACCAAAAGGAAGATATGCTCAATCAGAAAGCATGACATTTTGGGTAGAAATCAGCATCCAATTTCCGAACTTCATGTGGGAGGGAGAGTAAGTTTTTAATATAGTGCTTAATATTATCCACAACAAAACTAATTAAAATGTCAACCTTTCTTTTCCATTAAAAAAAAAAAAAAGAACTATGAAAACATTCACAAGTCCAGATCCAGAAGAGGTATTACTAGGTCAAGCTTACATGTATGTTTTGCCGGTGAAAAGCACTGAAGTAATTTTCACAAACAGCTTTCACTTTCTGCCTGAACTCAACTGCTTCAATCCCACAGAAGGCTTCTCCAGACAAGATGAAGATACTCAAATCTTCATAATTTTTCAGGAACTGATGAGTGCTTGCAGAACAAACCGCAGAACAAGAAAGCAAAACTGCTACACGGCTTGTCGCAAGCTGCCATAGATTCTTGCGGCCTCTTCGTAATGTTTGTGAAACCAAACCTATAGCATCTTTACGAAGCTGAAACCACGGTGACCCACTGCTCGATGCAGCACTGCCACCATCCCTTTCATTATCTGAGTAATCTACATGCCCAACATGGTTACTTCCATTGGTATCAGGACTTGTGAGATAATTTGATGATGGCTCTTGCACAGATGACAAGACTTGCACACCGCCATTTACTGCAGTAAGCACATCATCACCCTTTTTGGAATTGGAGGAGTTCGATATTTCATCCATTTGATGTACATCTGAAATCTTGTGGTTAATACCTTGATTTCTCTCCGGGCTGGGTATGTTCTGCAAAGAAATCAGCAACCAAGAAAAGAAGCCTTAGGCACAGTAAAAGATACAACTATTTCGGGAAAGATAAAAGAACAGTGAAAAGAAGGCGAAAATTCTTCAGGCTTTCAACATTGATATAGCTATGCTGCTACATTCGACAACTTCCAAAAGAGTGAAATGTTTTAATTAAAACAATAAAAAAATCCTCAGAACACCTAAACCTGTAAAACTTTACCTCATCCTCCAGCTGGAAGCTCAATATTGCATGATAAGAACACATCAACTTGAACAATACAGCCAATGTTGCTAGTAAACACTCCCTAAACTTTGATTCAGGTACTTGAATGCATAGATCGCTGTAAGTAAGCCTGCATATATGCAGTCAAGAGACTGCAAATGAGAAACATTGCTATAGTTGAATAGACACTTGCAAACAATGGTAAGCATACCTAGAACTTTGAATATTATGATGCTCAATGTCCTGTAACATTCAAAGCAATTATTTAGATAAGAATAGTCACGAAAGATAAAAAAGAAAGCAAGAGAGACAGTGATATTGCATCGATTGGGACTGAAGTCATAGCATCTTGTTCTCTCAAATTCGCAAAATTTGCAAGCAACAGCGACAAAAGAAAGTAAATTAAATAACTACATTAGGAATGAAGATGACAAAATTCTTTTTACAGATCTTCTTTTCCATGAGTTGGGAAGAGAGAGAAAAGAAAACAAAGATAAATACAATGCAATCTTTCTGTTTTTTCGGGTCACTTCTCTTATGTGGATTAACAAAACAATGAAAATGATAAGCAGAATCCTATTATACAGCATAAAGTTGGCTTCAACTTGATGATTGCCTTTGGCTCAAAGACTTTAGGGATTGCATAGTTCAAAAGAGCTGTGTATAAAGAACTGGCAAGATTTAGAAGTCTAATAAAAAGTAGAGATTATCAATCATATAGCATACCTCCATCACTTTAGTCTTCAAGACAGATTGTGTTTCGGAGATAACCTCCTGCATGAAGAAGCTTTGTATTTTCTCAGCAAGTCCAGAAACATCTCCAATTAATGCATAAGCATCAAGCACCTGCAGACCACAGAGAAGATATTAAGAAATTACTCAGTTATATTTGGTGCAGCGACAAGCAAGTAAAAAGCATGGAGAAGAATGCACCAAACCAAGTACTGAAAAGCTAGGTACAAGTTTCTTATGTTTGACAAGGAAAAGGGTGACCCCCACTATCTAGAAAAGAGAAATGGATACTGGATAAACAGCCAAAGGAAGCTGAATAAAGTTATTTCAGCTACCTAACATAGGTACTTATACGCCACAAGTGAAACTTACAGTAACGTATCCATCTTCTTTGAAGTCCTGACAAACTCCCAACAGAAGTGAATCTAGCTTATGAAGAGTTTTACCGAGCCAAACCTGCAAGAATGGAGAAAGTTTTATATAACTACAGGGAAAAGGTACGATCTAGTGGAATTGGAGTTCTTCATGAATTTCTTCCAATAGATTCTATGCAATTACTCACTTCAACACCACGACTCATTTCTTGTATAGCTGAAAGCTCCGACAAACTTTCTAAAAGTTGCAAATACTCTGATAGCACTTGAAATGCCTGCACATCAATTATCACGAGTTCAGTAACTCAGTTTATAACATGTTCTAAAATGATTAAATATTAATTTCCTCGGAACATGAATTAGGATACGAAACAAGTACAAAGCAAAGTGAAACCTTTGAAAAGTTTCCTTCTTGAACGAGAGAATCCAGAGCTGCTTGCATTTCTAATGCATGGCGAAGCTCTGTCACAACTGGAAGCATGTCCTGCAGGTTGCAAAAATTACTGAGATTCTTCAAAATTAAGCTCGGCTTATGATAGGTGGGCTAACAATGCTGAAAGGAACCAATTGAAGAAGCAAATCTAAAAAACATTTTACATATGAGCAAACAAAAAAGGAAATACTACAATACATTTTTTCATTCCAACAATCATCTGCTTGCAGTTAATGAAATAACCAAAAATAGAGAAGCTTAAAGATTGTGATGAAGTTTGAAAAAGTACCAGAAGCGCCTGCTTCTTCTTAGAACTTTTAGTAACAATGAGATCCCTTGACACTTCATTCCTTGAGGAGATAAGGTGCCTTCGTCCATTCTGCAGACATTTTAAGAGACAAGCCATGATATTAATACCTTCACGAGTTCACATCCATAATCTCACGATAACAGATTTATTAGTATTATTTGAGCATCCTGCTCCACAGGCTTATATACACATTAACATTGCAACCTTCAGAGAAGTTAATTATAGTTATCTGCTTACCATGCAAATGACATTTGCAACCTTCAAGTCCTTCTCCAACTCCCTCACCAAATTCATTCCCTTCACTAGGAAATGAATCAAATGTTATGGACATATGTGAAGGATACTTGCATAACATAACATCATAGAAGAAGCTGGAAACAATACATACAAGAAACAAACAGGCAACCAGACCCTCTATGACAGTAAACAAGGGAATTTAGAAGAGGAAGGTCACTCATTGTAGCTTTCATGCTGGAAGTAACTTTATGAAATGTATATTAACACATTAACAAGCATAAGAAAGGAGAGATGGAAACCCAAAATCTTTTACTGGTAGCCATTTTTCAAGCTAATCATCTGACACATACAAATGAGGGGAAGACCTCAAACTGAAATTAGGTTTGGTGATGTAAACGGGGTGTTAAGTTAATGTAGAATAAAGGGTGCAAACATCTCTACTTGAAAATGATTACGGGTGTTAGGAAGGAATGTGCAAATAAGTATGTTTGAAATCTCTCCAATTTGAAGCACAATAAAGCATACAGAACTGGTTAAGTAAATCTTATCTTCACTGAATGTGCAATCATAGTCGCCTGCAAGGTAAATAACTATTACCCATTTCTTCATGATGTTCCATAACGTGACGTGATAATCGCTCAGATATTTTATCTAACTGCGCTAATCTCACAGCAGCCTGAAAATATCAGAATGCAAAAAGCAGTTAGCAATATAAAGCACCCTGTCTAAGAGAGGAAGTGCATGATGCATTGATAGTCAAGAATGCACAAACACTCGTATCCGAATCAGGAAAAGAGCCAATCTTGAGTTAATAAAGGAAAGAGATGAAATTTCAGGTTCAAAGTATAGTTGTCGTAAAACACAGAGACATAATGAGAAAGGGTTGAGAAACCTATCATGCCATCTTTAACTGTCAGAAAGGGAAATTCTAAACTGTTGACATGTCATAATGTGCAGTCTGGTTATTAGACCCCCATATACTTGGGGCCTTTTGGCATCTGTGGTTTATTTACAGCGGGCTTTCACCATCTTAATGCGCACAACACATTCTGGTGAACCAAATGATTTATATGTACAAAATTTTAAACTCAGCCGCCTTCATAAAAAATTAAGTTACATGTTGTGAATAAGTAGGTGGATGGCAGTTTAAATTAGTTCTCCAGGCTTGAAGGATCAAGATAGAACCCTGATCAATAGGTACCTTGCCATGTGTAATAGAGGTATTACATGCCAAACTACGAAAATTCATTATAATGGTTTTCTCAGCGCCTAAACTCACAACAGAAAGTTGCAGGAGATTCACAACGAATGTCGTAGTTGCTTGACATTTCTTGGGGTTTGTTGTACAAAGAAATCCCAACAGTTCAGTCTCATGATGTCAGAGATTTTCACTCTCTTTCCATTAATACCAATTTTCCACGCTAACACAATGTTTCCCAAGGAATGTTATGTTACACGAACCAATTAAGTATATTAGACGGTCTACATGGAAAATGTAAAAAAATATGCAAACCATCATCCTTCATATATTCTTGATTGCAGAACAAGAAGCATAAAGCATTAAGGATCTGAAAGAATACAAAAAGTAGTCTGTTATTCATTACCTGTTCCTCAAAATATGCTAGATCAGTCTCTTCAGATGGAATATTCTCTAAGACATGCCTAACTGGGTCGAATTCCTAAGTCAGAAAAATGATAGCCATCAGTTATAAAAGGAAAAATATTACGAAATATGGCCATCAGTAAGCCACATTAAATTAGCGAAACGTCACAAATAAAGACTCGACTTTTCCCATTGACCTTAAACATCAAGAAGAAATGAGTACCAGAAAATACCATAAAATCATTAACAAATGAATATTAAGGGTTGGGTGGGGTGGTTAGGGGATTAGCTTTGAGGTCAGACGGTCTAAACCCAAATCAAACTGAGTATTACAAATCCTCAACAAATTATGGAACAGCTCGTCAGTGATACCAACATTTTTTTTTTTTCAAATTTTTGGTTAACCTGATACAACATTTCAACCTAAAGAAAAAGTTTATATGGAATGAGATCTTCGCAAACTTGGAGAAACGGTAAAAGAAATGGAAGACCGCCTAGTTCGAACTATTGATCAGCTGATGCGTTCCCAAAATCAAAACAAACCACATCTAGTTACCAGATCAAGAAAAACTGAACTAAATCATTAAATTTAGTTAATAAGAATCTCTAACAGAACTCAAATGTAGCTACATTAGAAATCACCTCTCCATAGAATTCCTCTTCCAGTTCCTCTGGAATTTTAATATTAGGACTGCTTCCATAGATTGAGCTCAATTCTTCAGAACTCGACGCCAAACTATATCTCTGATGCGGTGGAAGAGAAGCGAGAACTCGAGCAGCAACAGCGGCAGCTGCAGCTCGTTCGGGAACCTGTGATCCATATTAGTCTCAATGATATATTAATACGTAAATCTACAAACTGGGAAAGGAAAGACATATGCAAATTGTTATAAAAAATTGCATATGATACTCTCTTCGAAAAACAATATTTAAAAGTTCCCAACAAGGTTTTAAACTCCCCGACTTTATGGTAATTTCCCACCCATTCTAACCAACCTCCTACCCTCTACCATCTGTATTAATGATACTATTTATTCAAAAATGATGTCCTGAAAGCTAATATATGATCCCCATTTAGGTCTCAGCAATTGGAATAAAAAACAAAAAGATAAACAAATCAAAGAAGCCAAATGTTTTCAAATGTTTTCAAATTCATTAAACAGACGACTCCTTTCATTGTCCTTACAGCTGAAATAATTAGCTGGGATACCTAGGTTTCAAACTTGTTCGTGCAAGTTAGAACATGCACTTCATAGTCTGACAGATATGTAGTTTACTTCAGCAAACAAAATTATCGGCTCGGATGCAGTTTGAAATTGACTTCTCAACAAAAGTGGAGCTACTCACAATTTCATAGGCTGAGAAGAGGGGGTACAACTAAGCATAACTCATGAGTAACACAAAACACTCACTTCCATTAACAGAACACCTCACCAAAAGATAATTTAGCATGAGCCTTGCAGGACCTACATTCTTTAGGTTGAAATTAAGGTTCCAACAATGTGCTCAGAATATAAGCAGAAAACATAATTAACTTCCTATGTCAGATATGAACAGCACTTACATCAACTCCTACACAGCCATAGCTGTTCATTTCACTATTCAGAACATGGCATATTCAGTCTGTTTATGACGAACACCAATCAACCAAGAAATTTTGATTCATGCAGAGAAAGTCTGGTACTTGTTAACTGAAATTAAAAAATACTGTAAAAAATAAAAAATGTGCACCAGCATGCTCTAAGGGAAAAATTAACAGCACAAACTTAAAGAATCTAAAAACAAACTTACTGCTCTGTAACTATCTTATGACAGATTTGCCACAAAATTTTTTTTTGCCAAAACAGACAATTCTTCAAAAGATTATTTCCTACACTAGGAAAACACTGACATAGACAGAAAATATTTTATCCACGTACAACACAGGTGTATATTGAAATCATCTAACATCTTCCTTCCTCTTGTTTTTATTCACAATTAACACACATATTCTTCCACTGTGCAAGCAAAATTATAGAGATATAATGTACAAAAGAAGTACAAACAAAACTCGGGAAAGCAGGTCCCAAAACAAAACTTTGATTAAGTGATCAACCCTCCTACAGATAACATAGCAAACACCGCCCCCAACGGACCCACCCGCCCACCAAAAAATAGGAGGTTAATGTAAGATCAAAAGCTCTATGCTGATCGAAAGGAAGGGTTTCCTGAGCCGTGAAAGATCTTTATTTCTTCACATATGAATGAACTTGAAATACCATCATTCACAATTATTTCTTTGCATTTGAATGAAACACCATTGCTCATAAGAGGCTACATTACACTAGCTGGTCTCGAAGGAATAACAGATTCAAAAACCAAGTGAAGCACTAATGAACTTCTCGACAAATGTCAGAACGAAACTGTCTCTGTAGCATGGACCATTAACATACGCCAATAAAGACTTTGCACAAAAGCATAAATCTGAGGCATACTGAGTACCGGATTTCCCAGTTTAACAATAAAAATTCCTGAAGTCAAGCCTAGCACTCTGGCAACCAAAAACAAAGAACCAAGAAATAGACAAAGACTTTCAATCTCCACAGCAAATTTCAGTAAATATTTGCTCAAAATGATTACCTACACAAATAATGCTACTTCCAAGCCATCAAACCCCAAGCGGAAATGCAGAAATCACAATACATTTTTATAAGTACCTAACTGTTACTCAATTAGAGAAAATGCAACAAGTCCATATCAATTACCAATAGTCCTCACTGACTAATCATGCATACTTTCTATTACCGGATACAAATACAAAACAATATTGTCTGAAAAAGCAGTATGAGTGAAGGGTGGAAGTAGTACCTCAGGGCGATCGGAGGTAGAAGGGAGAAGGCCGAGGGATCGGGCAGAGCGAACGGAGCTAAGAATCTTCTCTCCGACCTTGGACAAGTCCATACTGTCACCCTGAGAGAAGAGAAGGGATCCCAAAAACAAAAACCTAGACAATTCGAAGCCGCCTTCGCTTAATTCACCGCCATTAATCAGTACGAATGGGCTCAGCGGAAATGGCAGTGAGTTGGACTGCATTTCAGTTTGGGGAACCAAAATCCAGCATTTCGAAACGCCGGCGCCGAATAGATCGGATCCAGATGATTCCCGCGGTTTTATCACGCGCAAGTTTACGGTGATGATGTGTTTGTGTTGTTGTGTTCTTCAGATCAGCGATGTGATCGATCAGTGACGAACCCGGTTGCCGTTGGTTCGAATGACTTTAATTACGGTGTGGGCTTTGGGGTAGACTTTTTGGGCTCTAAAGTCTAAGTCTAAACTCTAAACCACAAATTTTATTTCAAAATAAATAAAATAAATTCTTAATTTGGATCCATATATCAACTATAGTACTCCTCCGTCCCATAATTATTATCCAGTTTGGTTTTTATTTTTCGTTCAAATTATATTATGAATGAAATCTCAAACTGGACAATAATTATGAAAAAGAGGGAGTATCAAAGTGCATATCAGATTATGGTTCAGTAGTAAAACCTTTACAATTCAATGCCCCACTCTGTTAGATGTTTTGTCATGGTAAAGGCACCATATTTATCCATTTTAAATGGAGTTTTGGCATTACAAAAATGAAGAAAGAAAAAAAAAACAAATTTACATACCTCCGTAGAGAAATTTATTCATTATTCATTGTCAGCCATTTAGTGTACTTATAGCAACAAACATTTTGGACACATGTTAGCACCACAAAGAAAATTTTCCCTCCAAAACCATTTACTGTATAAAACAGAAGCTACAAACTGCTGACACGTGGCTTCACCAATGAGCTGCAAAATTTAGCTAAATGGAGGTTCGGTAAGAAGCCTAATTTCTATCACATTCATCAGTTTGAACTGAATAAACTAAATAAAGTTTGAAAACAAATTATGCGTTTTTTAGGAGAGATTAATCAGTACAGTTATCTCTGTGCATATCCCTTTAATTACTCCCTCAAAGCAACTATATCTCTGCTACGAGATAATTGTGAATTTAACTGTCCCAAAGTGTCTGTAATATTACAGTTTTACTGTAACTTAAAAAAAGAAGCAAACATCTATTCCTTAAAATTAACTTTGACAATCATCTGTCCCTGTAATTCAAACGAGAAAACATTAGCATCATTCCCTGTAATTCAAATTCAAATTTTCAGCACATATATAATTCTATTCACACTGATCCTTCTATTATTTTGTCAATCAGCATTAAATAATTATTAAACAGAGGCTAAATGGGATAAAATACAGATTGTTAAATGCAAATCACAAAAACTAATCAATATCTCTTATCAATCCCGTGTATATCTTTCATAACAACTCCAATCACATCTCAAAAATCAAAACATTTAAGAATGGCCAAAGTATCAGTGAAATACCTCTATAAATGGATCTATAGCCATCTCAAGATTTTCACACTATCATTTAGCAAAGCCTCTTCGTTCATACATCCAAAGTCCCTTTTTGAGTTTGTTGTTTCCATTGCTTCAGAACAAAAATCAAACTAGCCTGTTGTTCAACCTTCCTTTGTTGATGAAGGTGGTAATGAAACTATTGGTAATGTTGTCAACAGTTCTGCGCTGCCAACCAATCATGTTGAATCATATGGTCATTCCAGTCCTAGATCTGTTTTGCTTACCAATCATGCTGAATCATCTGGCCCTTCCAGTCCCTCCTCCAATCAAACAGTTGCTGCACCTGTTTCCATAACTGCAGCTCAAACTAATGATGCACATGTTCCCATGACTGCAGTGCTAAGGTACATTACTGACATAAATGGACTGATTGATACAAAGAGCATACATTTCTTCATTGTTGCATGGATTATGACGTAATAGAAAGTACCCGAATCTTTCAAGAGCAGCAAAATCAGATCGATGGAGATGACTTTGATTGATGCTCCGGTTTTTTACATGTTTCGTTTTATAATTCATCAAAATTATAGAGAAAACATTGAAATTATTGTTTGTTCTTACCAATTTGTTGTATACATGGTGGTAAGATTCAGGTTATCATACATGGCCGCTATGTGAAAGATTTTGTGGATATCTTAAAAGAAGGTTCTGTAAGAAGGCTGTCACGATTTGATCATGGCCTGAACATTGCTGGTGGTTTTCGTTGTGCTAAACACGAATACAAAATCGTCTTTGAATCAAACACATTGGTTGAAGCTGTTTTTGATTTTGACATTCCAAATCACGTGTTTGAGTTCACACCTTTTTCAGAAGTTACAAATTTATTGGCCAATTTTGATTATTGTTTTGGCAAAAGTTTCATGCTTTTTAAATTATTAAATTTTTTTTGGCAGTATCAGTCTTCATATTCATATGGAATTCAAAATTATAATTTACATGTTTAAACATGTATCTAGATATGAAAGGACACATAATTGCATATAGTGATCCTATTGTTAACTACGAGAAAAAAAGATTTCTATAGAACTTGAAGATGAAAGGTATATAAGATTTATAAATTTATTATGTAACAATATGTTTTTACAATGTTTAAGAAATCGTAATAATGAAGACTGTTTATTTATGAATAAAGGGCTGACAGGCCGAAGGTAACCTTATGGGATGAACATGCTGACAGAGTTACGGAATACATGGACTCAATCCCCACTTTTCCTGTTGTACTTATTGTACGGTATGTAAAGTACAAGAAGTACTACTGTAAGTATATTAGTCCTTATTACATATTTTCCAGTTATCACTGTCAATTTACCAAATTTAGTACTTATATTTTATCACCATCAAATGCACAGCAAAAATTACTGTTACTACAAACTGTTGAATGGAAAGGTTTATCTTGATGACATGACCATGCCTGAGATATTTGAATATAAAGATAAGTATATTTAATATAAACCTATTGTACAACAGTTTATGCTTTATGACCATGATAAACACATTACAATTTAATTTATTTTTTTTTATGTCCGATTAGTGCATTCGACAGTGAAATCAAACAAGCGAGCATTCACAAAATTTCAATGCTGTCGTCTATATATGGATACACTACTTATGAAAATTTCATAAGTGGCGTCTATATCACAGATTGGTTTTGAAAGAAAATGTTCCAGTCATATTACTCCGTAATGTTGATCAAAGAAATGGTCTTTGTAACGAGACAAGGTTACAGATTACACGAATGGAGCGTTACATTATTGAAGGTAGAGTGATTTCTGGAAGCAACATTGGTGATATTGTACCTATTCCTCGGATAAAAATTATTCCAACTGACAACACTATTCCATTCAAGATGAAGAGAAGGCAGCTTCCTAAAGCGGTATGTTTCGCTATGACTATTAATAAAAGTCAAGGTCAGTCTCTACCTACCAAGACCTGTTTTTAGTCACGGACAGCTATATATAGCACTGTCAAGAGTAACTTCTAAGAAAGGTTTGAAAGTTTTGATTTGTAACTCTGATGGAACTCGATCCAAGTCTACAACTAATGTAGTTTACAAGGAAGCTCTCAGGAATGTAAGATAGTGTAATTAGTTTAGTATGACACAACTATGTTTCAAAAATACATCATCTACTATTCAAACAGAATAATTCTTATATCTCATGCAGATCAGTGTTTTTAATCAATTTCAAATTTCATCATATACTGATTTATGTAAATTTTATACTTACATTTCAATCATCATAGCCATGAATTATTCAATTAAGTTAATTACATACAATTACAAGTGGTATTAGTATTATATACACAAGTATCAAATTGTATATAATTAGATAATTTCAGAGTTATCTGTAGTAGAAGTCCTCTCTGTAACTGTTTCATCCACCAGTTAGTCAAACATTCATCCCCATTTGAAACCCTCGAGTATATACCAAATCTGAAATTCTCCTTTTGCAAAAATCAATGATAAATTGTGAAGTAATTTACATATGCTTCATCCGTTTTTATATGGTAAAACAATCGTTGAATTAAAGCATATACCTGTTGAACCCATTGATTCGTAAAGATCTGCTTCGAATCTCCAACTGCATACCTTCAACAGACGCTTGCTTTCCAGGTAAATTTTGACTTTTTCATACAACTCAGTCTGATCTATTGGATCAAACGCTCCATCCAAATTCAAAATGGAAACATATCTACTAAATCGCCCAAATCCGAATTTGAAAATATTCAAATCTAAACTATTTCAGATGCAACAACCATATGATTGGGCATGTCAAAGCACCGCAAATTGGAAGTAAATAGAAATGGATGAAGAGCCGTGAAAAAACAAAATCCACCCATATCATATTGATGAATAATGCAACTGGAAACCCATGTCTATTACATGAAATGCGACGAGAACCAAATGTTGATTTCTTATTTTGCTTGAAAAAGAAGAGGATTCGATGTATTTTGGTTTGATGGACACTAGAGAACAAGTTAAAAAAAGGAAGAAAATGAAGAAGAATTAGGAAGCTTTCTGTTTTACTTTTTAACTTTCTGGATTTTGTGCATTTTGAGTAATGTTTAAACCAGATTATGATAAGATCGATATTAGCATGATATTTATGATTGTTTACATGTTATTTTAAATAGTATCTATGCTAATATATGTGTTTTGGTTCTTAATTTGATTATAGAAAGGATTTGGGACAAAAAGAAGAAAAGTGTTGATTTTGAAGAGTTTTTGAAGGTGTTATTGAATCAAGTTTCAAGTTAGAGAAGAAGTGGTTGATTCCCGTGTGGGCACACAAAATCTATGCCAAAATCAATGAAGGAAGCAAGAAATTTCAGAAACAAGGTTGTATTCCCGCGTGGGCACGCGAAAGCAGGGACTAAAATGTAAAAAATCCAAAGTTTTGGGGTTAATTTATAATTTCTACAAACTTGAGAGACCAATATGAAAATTCTGAAAGCTTTAATTGGCTGCTGCGATTTCTGGACGGGCAGAACGTGGGGATGTCCTAAATTTGCATATAAATAGTCTTTTTCTTCTTATTTGGAGGGAGTTAGATGATCGGAAGCATAGGGAGGTTCTGAACCTCTGGTTTCAAGTTTTTCTCTTTATTTTCTTCAGGATTAGTTCAATAAGATTAAATTATATGCTCTTTTGCTATTTATCTTAGTAAGATTAGTAGTTAATCTCTTTTCTAGTTGAAGCCTTATTGAAGCCTTGATATTATTCAATTGTTTGTTTTTTATTTGCCAACATGTTTTAAGTATTTATTTATTTTTTTTTGTTGTGTATTTGGCATTATTTGAATAGCTGGTAGTATTCAATTCTCCTAGATAATCTAATTTA